GGGGGGGGGCTGAGCTGAGCTCAAGCTATGACCTGAGCTGCTGTGGTTGTAGACTCACCAGTGTGAGAAATCACAGAGCTCGCGGGAGCGTGATGGATAATTTCATGTGTCGTAGGGTGGCAGTACGCAGGAAAACAGCGTTGCGCCTTGAGTTTGGCAATTTCAAATCGAAGATGGCGCTCTACGCGCGCATCCAATTCCTTGCGGCTTCGCTGTAAGATAGACAGCGAAGAAAAACCCTGGTGCCGCTACACCCGTCGCACAAAGCGCTTCTCATCATCTGCAGCGACTTTGCAAGGGACTGGTCCACAGGAAAGGTCCGCATTGCGGGTACAGGAGAGGCTCCTCTTTGGGCTCGAAGTCAAACGCGATACCAATTCATTGTGATTCCTCGAGGTACCAAAAAGCGAGCTTGGAGAGCTTCCCGCTGGTCAAAGTCAGCTTGTGTAGTAGCCTGGGGCCCGACTACGTAGACGCGTAACGGTCGAGTGATTGCGTCTTTCGCTTCAGTAGCGGGACCCGCCGAGTGGAGTCCGTCTTCCACACGAGGGTCCAGGACTAAAAATGGAAACGAGCGCACGATAGCCGCCCTGTGGACAGCCTCCACCTGCTGCTTCTATGCCTCGTCGAGGCGACCGTAATAATACCACTTCCCCGGAAGTCGAGAGGTGTTTGATCTGGGATCACGTCGCGCCGTTGGCGCACCTCATCCTCCTCGTCTTCTCTTGCTGGAGAAGGGGTAACCAACTCGTAGTCCACTTCCACCGAATCCTCGACGAGGAAATTGGTCGCACGGGGCGGGCGCGGTGAGAGGCGCTCGGTTGCCAAGGGTTTGAGATGTGTTGTCCGTAAAGCCCACCACGTGCAGAAGAAGAAGGGCTTTGCCCGCGGGAGCCCTCGGAACCAGCTAGGCTGGGTGTTTTTGTGTGATACACACAGATCTCATTGAACGGAGAATTTTCAAAGATGTCCTTAAGGACGCAACGGTGTCTCAAGCACGCGAGTCTCGTATGAGGTGATAATTAAATGTGAATTGTGGATGTTCTAGGGTTTAGGTAGCACGGAAACAGGCGTCAATGACGTCACACTGCTCCTTGGGCAGGGACCATTGGCGTGTTACGCAGTATTTGGTTCCCGGAACCAGGTCAATCTCATGATGCACACCTATGTCCGGAGGTAGGGCCGACGGCGAGGCTGTGGAGACGACGTCTTGAAATGTCTTTACCAAGGGATAGTACAGATTCGAGGGGCCCTTCAGGATTGTCGACCACTTCATCCTCTTGAGGTCATCCTGGACCGCTTCATCTAGATGCGACGACGGGTCAGTTTTCTCGATCGGTCGTATAATGACCACCTCCGCTAAATTGCTTGCCTTCAAGGCACCGCTGAATTCTTCGAAGTACATTTTGTCGGGCTCAACAGGAGCATCCATCGCGAAATAGCCTCGAGGGTGACGTTGACGGATTTCTCCCCCGTCATACCATTGACGAGGGTGTATAGCTGTACGCTATCGTCTACGTAGCCGCACCCTGGGTCAGAGTCGACGCCCTGTGTCTTGCAGATAACATACGCCATCGCCGTCTCCACTCCATCGAGGTTTTACGTCTCGTCGAGACCAGTGGGACCACGCACTCAGCATCGTCCAGTGTCCCCACTCCCTGCTCCATCAGAGACTTTATGCTATTAACGACATCAGACGGAGAGCTGCTATTTCCGCAGCCTTCGCTTAATGGATAACGTGCCTCCCCAAGCGCACCCAAAGGAAATTCCTTAAAGAATCCTCGAACCTCGTCCGACTATGCCACTCTGGGCATTCAGTTACTGCTTCGAAACGTGAGCAGTGCTCAGTGAGTTTACGTGCCACTCCAAGCGCATCACTGGGGTGTCGCCCTCGATACCTCGGACCTCGTCCGACCATGCCACTCTTGGAACGCTTTGATACTTGATCATAGCTCAGTGGGCTACGTGCCATTCTACCTTCATCACTGGGGCCTTGTTCCGATGCCTCGGCCTTTGGCAACCATGTCACTCTTGGCATGCAACAACTGCTTCGGCACTTGAGTAGTTGTCAGTGGGATAGGTGCTACTCCACGTATATCCTGCGAGCCATTCTAGGGACCCCTGTTTGATATGCCTTCGGTGTTTGATAACTCGGATACTCAGATATCCAACACATTGACTGTCCCGGTCCAGTGGCCGGACCAATAGCGCTTCTGCTTCCCAGCAGAGCTTGGTTCATGACTCACCAAAGCTTCACTAGGAGACATGCTCAAGATCTTTGACCTCCAATCAATCCATGGATCATGGTGTTTCAATCATGCCATGGCAAGCGTAAGATCACACCTTGCACAAGTCTAAGGCTAGACAGAATTCCACGCTATCAAAGTCAAGAAACTTGACACCGAGGTCCACAGGGATCTCAGCACAGTGACACAAGTTCCCATCGCTAAGCGCACAGTTACGGTATCACTCAACTACACTTCCAGCACCCCAGCATCAACCGACATCCGTCAATCGTGAAGCGGCGAGTATCATTGCCCGACAAACCTGAATCAATACGAATTTTCCATGGCTCATCAAAGCCCTTCGCGGTCGCTTAATGACCAGCAAGCCCGGCTTGCACACACGTTCCGTGATGAATCACACGTAGCTTTTCGGAACTGGGCCCTGCTGCCCTCTACCTCTTTGAGGCTCAACAGAAAACAGTTCTCCCCCAGTAGGGCGCCCCACGCCTGCTGGGTGCTCTCGTTTCCTCGCGACAAACCAAAAGACTGGTGAAAAGCGGGACGTCAGTTTGATAAATCACGACGCGCCTTGCGCAGAGGAAAACTAGTTCAAAGGCGACGGGTGTCTCCACAGACAAAATACCGTCGGCTACCCGGCAGCTCGGAGCTCTCCTACCCTCTTTCTCAGCATTGCTGAAATCCATCGGCTCAGGCCCGCTCGACTAGCTCTGAGGGTGTGCATTTCAACCAAGTCGTGCCGACTTAGAGTTAAATTTAGCATCAAATGCCACATTCACCGCTTCTTCAAAAGAAGACGGATGCACGCGGGATGCACTCATTCTGACCACGCCAGTGCGAAGGCCCACCAAAAAGATGGTCACTGCAACCGCCTCGGGAGGAGGATATGCTGCCATCCCGTCTATAAGAGCTCTCTCTTGGAGATGAAATACCTGTTAAATGTAAAGTTAAAAGCCCACCAACTCCTTCTTGCCCTGTCGGGCAGTAAGGAAATGCGATCTCACGCGATACGCCCGATTAGGTGGCGTGAATATTCACAGAAGCTGACGCTCTAGTTCCTTCCAGTAGGGGAACGCGGCTTCAACTGAAGCACCGCACGTTAGTGTCCATTCTCGTGCTCGACCTCCAAGCTTGGAGATAGCTAGCGCCACGCGCTGTTGCTCGTTTTGGAGCATGGTTAATGCCTGGCCATCTCAGCCTCTCACATCCAGAGCAGGAGATTCTCTCGAAGGTCTTGACGCTCTCTATGAGCGGTCTGGGTCGGGGGGGGAGTCATCCGACGTCGACGGTGGTGGACGCAGTCGACGCCGACATCTTCTTCTCCGGGGGCTCTAGCAGAGCATTCATCGTCAGAAAACGCTTCTAGGTGCGACCTTATCGCTTCAGGTCCTTGCGAAGCAAGTTATTGCGCGCCTATATGGCCAAGCAGAGACATCAGCTTTTTAAGCCCGTCCTGCATGCCCTGGGATAAAAAAGGGAATTGCTTAATCCTCACAGAGGATCAGTCATAAAAATCTAGCCGTTGATTGACCAACAAGTGCTACCATGTGCAGCAAGGCTGCCGTAAGATAAGCTAAGGTCACCGACCTTACGTTCTATACTAGAACCAGTACTAGTGTAGCGGATCGCAATCCGCTACCTACAAGAATACCCACAAACTTAAACTAAGGCAAATATACACTTCCGTTCACAATTGAAACTTTCTATTTGCGGCAGAGCCGCCAATATCTAAATCTCTAGGTTTTCCTTATCAAATAGTAAAACCTCATTTGTATGCATAACTACTGGCAGCCCCGCCACGTGGTGCCTTCTTGTTACGTTTTAGCCACACCATTGTGTGTTTACCATTTGTGTGACCCACCATTTCATACCAGGGTACGTGTAACGCTTTTGTAGGTGGTTATATCCTAATCCTAATATTTAACTAATGTAGGAATTAAAATGTACCAAACTAACTAAGTTGATCAGTAACCAAGTGTGTACCACACAAACAGTGTAATGAGCCTGAAGAAGCATTTGTAAGCTTTTAAGTGCTTTGGGAACTCTTCATTTAGAACATCTACGTTTAACGTTTGAGAAGATAAAAGTACTCCCGCGCAGTTTAGTCTAGAGTTGGTACGCCTATGGAATGAGGCAATAAACGCCTTCAAAGCTTTTTGACATATAGTGGTAAATATACTACAACAGATATACTACGAACCGTTTTAGATGTGGACGACTTTGCATAACCGAGTTCAATGACTTGCCAAGCCAGTGTCACGATTTGATGGATCAGCTTAATGTCCCCGGAAGACTCTGGATTCTAAAGACTTACACGACCGGCCAAAATTGAATACACTTGCCATGCATGAAGTCTCGACAGAATTCTCAATGTCAAACGGAAAACAGTGAGTTTGTATATTTAATATTGTAGGCAAATACATATACAAGTAATTCAGACTCATCCTTGCAAAACCTAAGCTTGACCGACTTTATGCCAGCTCCATGTGGATGGTCCGCGGAATTTGCGCGGTATGGTTAAGTTCTTTCAGTTTGATTAGAATTTAAGTTTTGTTGACAGCATAATGCACCGAGATTTTTATTCAAGTATGAATAGGTCTTCATGTCAACCACCTGTGTGCATGCTTGTTTTGGGGTAGTCATTTTGGCCATTTACCAATGTAAGTATTATCTTTGATCTTTTGATGAGCTCATTAGAGGAGATGCCGAGTGGATTGTTGTGATATCTGCAATAATTATAAGGTCATGCCTACTGCAGCTAAGCCTTAAGTTTTATGCTTTATAAAGTGGTACTAAACAATATTGATGCAGCAACTTCTGCAGCTTTTGTCAATGATCACGCTCGAGCTTAAATCAAGTTGCATATTCGCAAGCTTGCAGTAGTTGCGTCACGAACAACGAGGGTTACGTTATTATCGCTAATCCACACTATCAACTGCTTTTCGACTACATACAACAAATCTTCAGTAAATGTTGATCCGATTGTTAAACATTCAGATTGAATACGAACAAATAATTATAACAGTAACTACGAAGAGAAGAGAAGCGAACGCAAAAATGGAACGCCCACTACCAAACCTGCTGAAGAAGGTGCTGATGAGTACGATTAGACTTCGTGAAGAAGTGGTCGTGGGATCTACTAGATAAGACGTCCTCTGTGTGTTGATATCGCAAAATTTTACCAACAGAGCTTCCTCTGTGCAGCTGTGCTGCAAGTCCGTCGCTTAAATAAAACTCATCTACTTTAACTAGACCTTCTTTTGATTGATTTTGTTAATAGATGGATCGAGCAACACCTGGTGCATATTCATCACAATATATTTTACAAAAGCTAGGCCAAACAGATACAAAACGACCAAACTTGAGCATGCGACACATATGAACATATCTCTGCAACGAGGTTCTGGAGGCTAATGGCACCTGCTTTAATAACACGAACGTCATCGGCTCCCAATGTCTCGTCGCTAAGTTCAACTCCATTCATCATCCCAGTTTCAGTGAAGATGCATTGGCGCTGCCTTTTGCCGTTCCCATTCGACCTTGCCGAAAGATTTAAGACGTCACTTATAATATGATCTTTAATTTTACAGCATAATGATTTGCTGATGCAAGAATCAAGTTTATATTCTCGTAAACACAGATGCCACACTTGCCGTCAACTGCCTCCAACCTGCACGTGACGGCATCGGATATAAGTCTTTTTAGCCATTCTGACGATGATCCTATGTGTGAAAGTGAAGGCATCACCCGCGAGCAACTGGCGGCACGCACCCTAATCAGCGAGCAGCAAGAAGACAATGAAAGTGAGATGCTAGGTCAAGAGCTGCTCGAGGCGCTGCGGCTCGGCACGAGTAATTTTCTGCTGGCATACAACATTCGTGCAGGTATTGCGGTCTTATTGCGCCTCTTTAAATTGTTGCAACGACAACGGTGGAAAGCAGTGACCAACCTGCCACAAATATTAGATGAGAAACACCTTCACTTTCGCGTTGATGCCGTACGGCTTGGTATGTTTCTAGGCTGGTTTACAGGTAGCTACCGAGCATTGAGAGCATTGTTACCCGTAATTTTGCGCCGAGTTGTGCGTAAGAATCGATTTAAAGATAAGGAAAGGCTTGACAAAATTTCAGCCTTGGGCTCTGGAGCTATTGCAGCTCTGGTGCTGGGATTTGTGGACGAGAGAAAACGTCGATCGTTGGCGCTGTATATGTTTACTAGAGCGTTGCAATGTGGATATAATACGGCCAAAAGGCATAATCGGTGGCATTTTTGGGGTAGTGACTGGCAATACGGCGACCTGCTACTATTTGCTCTCTCGAGTGCGCAAGTCATGTACGCGTATGTAATGAGACCAACAACGCTACCCTTGGCGTACTTTAGATTTATCCAGCGTGCAAGTCCGTTGAAGCAAGAAACGCGGGATATGGTGCAGCTAATGAATCGCAGTAGTTCCATGAGTCCTGCTATTTCCCAAAGATTAATGGATCGGAACGTGGAACTTTCTAAAAACTACTTAATTCCAGCTGATATCGTGCCTTGCAAACACTTGCATGCTAGCGCTGAATCGTGTGTGGTGGGTGCACTTTTGTGCTTCAAAAACGCCTTTCAAAAGACATTCCCATTGTATATGTCGCTCTTCACCGTGCCAGGCGTCGTCATCCACTTTAAGAGCTTCTTGCAAACGCCACTTCGGACGTTGGCGCGCTCAACTTTTAATGCAACACGATCCAGTTGCTTTTTAGCGTCCTTCGTGACGCTATACTTGTCCATTATGTGCGTGCACCGCCGCATTGTCAGCAAAGACCATCGCTTTGTCTACTACTTGGCTGGATTGGGAGCTTCAACGACAATTCTTCTGGAACCTAAAAGCCGACGCTCTGGTAACCAACATTACTTCAATTTAAGGCGAGAAGTATACTGATACAAAGTGCACTTGAACAGAGTTGGCCCTATACGTGTTGCCTCGCGCTTTGGACAGCTTGGCAATGATCCTTAACGATCATGGAGTCTGTGTGGGCTTTAAATTTGGCGAGGTTGCTCTCTTTTCATTCTCAATGTCGGTTTTGATGTATTGCTATGAGGTAAGAATGTGAGGCACTTTACGCTGCTGGGCATAATCGTGTCGAATAATTTGCTATCTGTACATGCACAGCACGAGAAAGAGTCGATGAGTCCATTTCTATACAGTACGATGAAGCGCTTCTTGCAGACCTCAACTGACAAGAAGCAACTTTATATAGCTTTTCTTGAGAAAAGAGAAAGATGCCTTTCGCAGCTTGTTCCACCGACATCAACTATTGTTTCTGCATAATACTCAAGTTATCACAAGACTGTTTTATTGGCATTACCCTAGATTTGGTAATCCAAGCGAGAGACTTGGACTAAGCAAAGAACTTAATGAGCCTACATCTTGACTATTTAAATCTGTGCAAAGCGAACGCTACGCACACTGGGTAAATCCTTTAAAGCATCCAATGTTTCATTTGAGGGCATCGAGTCAAGCGCGAGAATACCAAGTGAATATTTAACGTTGTTCTGACGAGATAAACCAAAATTGGCAATATTGATTTTTGCCTTGGTAAGCTCACTTAGGATTCCAGCAATAGCACCCGGAACATCCTCATTGCTAAAAAGCATCAGGTTGCCTTCCGGTCGGAACGCCGGAAAGTCGGAGTATTCATTCACACATACGATACGCGGATCCTCGCCAAAGACACTGCCTTTCACGAGAAGGCGGTCTTTGTTCTGCGTCTCTACCATCACAGCCACGCTGTTCTTCAGATGACGCGTCGAGTCAGTCTTCAAATCACCTTGACGGACGTCAATTCCCTCCGCCATGGCAAGCAGCGACGAGTTTAAAAGACCGACCGTGGGTAACTCTTCACTCTCTTCAATATCTTTATGTCCACGTATGCTTTCCAGCATACCTTTAAGTAATGAATTCTGCAAAGCCTGACGAGCTTGTGGTGTAGTTATGTCGATATGTAATCCACCGGTACTCTCCAGGAACACGTTCGTGATCTGAGAATTTGGGTCGGCAGAATGAGTGAGCTGGTGCACGAAACGACCCAGAGACTCGCTCAGCTCGAGAAATGGCCTCATCTCTGATAATAGCGTTAGCGGCAGAAATACGCCATTTGCAACACCCCGAAAATATCGCTGAGCCAGAGCATCAGCAACATTTTCTGCCAGAAGTCGGTATTTGCGATCTAGTAGCGTATCATCCGACGCCAAACCGTCAACATGAACACTCGTGATGACGTTTTCGTGTTTCATAAGCTCTTCATACGCTGGTGGTAGCTCCATATCGTTTCGTCCTGTTGGCTGAAGCAGATCGAGGGCCACACCACTGATCTTTCCTGACTTGAGACCGCGCAGCAGCGTTTCCGCGTTCAACAGCCCATGACTACCCCTGTACTCGGCCACCGATATAATTTTGACACCAAATTTGCACTTTTCTAAAGCTTCATCTCCAAACATACCGCGTGTCCGTGCCGTCAATGGGGCGTGAAAAGTAATGAAGTCACATGTTTCGTATAGCTCGTCCATGGTAACGCTCTTGACTCCCATAAGTTCAGCTGCTTCCTGGTTCAAATTTGGATCAAATCCTAGAGTTTGTAGTCCAAGGGAAAGAGCCAGATCTATCATTCGTCGTCCAGCTTGTCCGATGCCTACGATACCGAGGCTCTTGCCAGCTAGTTCTGTGCCAGCAAACTCCTGCCGGTCAAATGGCGTTCCGGAGCGCATGCAGGCGATACTACGAGGCAGATGACGGACCAGCTGGATCAAGAGACTTAATCCAATCTCTGCTTCGACAGACGAGCGGTCACCAACCTGTTTCGACTCTAGCTGTAGTAGCATCACGCCCTGATTAGTGGCTTCCATGAGATCAATGTCTTCGCTGGGAATGGAGGTGGCAGGAACAGCAACCAATTGCAAATTATGCCTTGCACCCACGCTCAATATATTACGCGAGAGCTTCGTGCCTGGCGCTACTAGAAGCGCATCATAATCCTTTACCACTGACGACAGGTACTCGTCTGACGCGGCACGCACTTGGTCCACCACGTGACCGCGCTGGACTAGTTCCTGGACGCACGAATCCTCAGCTAATTTTTCAGGAACGTCAACGCACAGGATTCGGCGTCTGCTTTCATTACTTAGGAGTCGCGAGAATGGACAACGCAGCTTGACGGATCGCCGCGTAATTAGGAGACGGTGATACATAAGATTTTTTTTCAATTGTCATATTCTGCAAATTACATCCAATCATGACTCAACTATATAATGACCAGAAAAATGCTATAATGAAGAATACTGTATGGCTAACTAAGCCAGGCATCCGACCGCTTGCATCTGTCGACAATTGCGGTCGACTGGCATCGATCTGCCTTATACACTCGTCGACAGTGTCCAAGAAGTGCATTCATCGTACACTTTATCAACTATGCGGCCACGCTGACTGTTACGGGGATGTACCATATTTTTATATATTACACCATCGTCTCATGGAGTATTATTGTCACTGTTGTCCCTCATCTTCAAGCAGAAAAGTGACACTTTTGATTATCACGATTTGTACAGATCCCGGATCTGAGATCCGATTGAGGATGATGGACAGGAGGGTTTGTTGGCACCCTTATTATATGCAGGCCGTATCATATAGATAGCATAACAAAACGTGTTTAGTAATAATGTAGGGTGAGCATAATGATAAATATGAAAAATACGATGAATATACCTAGTTACCTAGAGAGGCTCTCGGCCGCTCCTAAGTGGAGCATTCGGATCTATCTTCTGAGCGTATACTAAAACGGTCTTGTAGCGTCAAAGCTTCATATTTACGAGGTGCACGGCGACCCGTTGCATTGAAGACACTTGTTGCCAACTCGACAACCGAGTTCGAATAATACTGTTCTCTCTGTGGTTTGTTTGGGTCAGTTTCGAAAAGGTGTAAATTTGGCGGTCGAGGGGCCGGAGGCAGACTGAAGGCATTCACCATCTATATATTGCGAACTCAAGGAACATAACCCAACTCATACCATGCGACCGCGCATACACAGTGTCTAGCCCAACAGAATCAGCGCTGGACAAGAGAGATTACAATTTACATGATTGGGCCATGCTTCGGTTGGAACAACAAGGTCGCGCGCATTATTGGGCACTCGAGTACTGATACTCAGCAGAAGAGTGTTCCATAGCATTGTAAATGTGGGTGTTGCAGGTGTTAGCACCGTCTAATGTGACGTGCCGGGTACAATTAATTTTTTTTGACCCGTCAAGAAAGCGACTCATGGTAGACTAAGTCCAAGCATTGGAAGTCACATTGCTTTGATGACAGACTTTCAGTAACCGGGTCTATCGTCACGGGGAGTCTATGAACAAGTATGGTTCGCACCAAGGCTGTCCGCGTCCATTAAACATCTTCGTGGGCGCGGTGGGTGCTAAATGAAATCTGGAGTACAATTCCGCGCCAATTGGAGTGCCGGAGAACGAGGGCGCCAAATAATCAGTTATGATGAAGCGAACCTAGACATCTTTAAACTGCCGACCATCCTCGTAGAGCTCGTAATTATTATATCGTTGGCAGCATCTGCGCCCTGCCCGTCTTCGTTTAAGCAAAAAAAAGGGTCACATATTCACACAGGAACAAACAAATCGAAAATTATTGAATTTAGGTCGCAGACCAGCCTACAGAAAATGAGTTCTAGTGAACCTCGAACAAGTCGAGCTCAATGGTTCCCAGGTTTACGCGAGCGAGTGTGCGACGGGGCCGCCGTAGCTCTTTCGCTTCGAGGAAGCTAAGTTAAGGTCGATGACCTTACGCTCTATATTAGAACCAGTACCAGTGCAGCGGATCACAATTCGCTTACTAAGAGTAATTACAGCCTTAACCCGAGGCAAATTTTTCTTCCGCCCAAAATGTATCATATATTTCTTTGTTTTATTTGCGGCAAAGCTGCCTATATCTAAAACTTTAGGTGTTCAAATTAAATAGCAAAACCTAATTGAAATGCATAACTACTTGCAGTCCAGCCACGTAGTGGCTTCTTGTTATGGTATAGACACACAACTGTGTGGTCACACCATCTTATGTAAATCACCCTTTCATACCAGGGTACATGCAACCCCGTTACACTCCCCCCATCAAGATTGTGAATACCCACATCTCACATTTAATTGTTACCTCGTACGAGGCTCGCGGGTCTAAAACACCTCTACGTCCTTAACATATTCTGCACGCATTCGTTGCTCAACTAGCTCTGTGTCTAGGACACGAAAGATACTGAGCCTCGCTGGTTCCGAGAGCGCCCGCGGGCAGAGTCTTCTTCGTCTCCTGAAAGTGATGCAACTTCGGACAGCACGTCCGCGGCTTCAAATTAAGCGCATCACAAGCACTCGGCAACTAAGACCGCACACCGCGCCCGCCACGGGCTCGTCGAGTATTTGGAGGAGGTCGACTACGAGTCGGATACATCTCTTTCCAGGATGAAAAGAAGAGGAGGGCTCGGTCGCGCTCCAGGCGGCCCACAGGGCGTCTCTCATGAGTTCGTATTCAGAGTCGGTCCTCATGTGGAATACGGCTTTTGCTCGACGGATCCCGCTACAGAAGTGAAGGACGCGATCAGCCGATAATTGGGCGTTTACGTGATCGGCCCCCGGCCACAACACAAAATAAGCTAGACCAACGAAAAACTCCCCGAGCTCGCTTCTTAGTACCACATGAAATCCTAATAGATATGTACCGCTATAGACTTCGTGCTAAAAGAGGAGGCGCTCCTTTACCCTCGATGCGGACAGTTCCTGTGGTGCTAGCCCCTGGCGAAACCGCTGCCGACGATGAAGAGCTCTTGGAGCAATGGTCGAAATCTT